CTCCTTTCGAAACACTTTTATATTACATAAATCATTATGATTTACTTATTAATAATAATCTTTATCTTCACCTTTTGAATTTTATCTATCCAATCGATCGTGTCACGGTACACGCTTATCCCGATTATCGCGAGTTTCCATGACGCACTCGACGCACTTAATATACGAGAGCAAAAGCGAAAGAGCGAATGAACGAACGAACGAACGAACGAACGAACGAACGAACGAACGAGTTCAACGAATTAAAGAGAACTATCTTAAACTCACAATATCCTCTTCCACGAATTCTTAATTTACGTTGCCACAGACGACACGCGGAGGATCACCCTTGGTCCTCCTCCTCCTCTCCCCCCTTTGGAGGACGCGGCGACTAACGAAGACAACGCGCGAAGGAATCGTGGAAAAAAAAACTGAGAGAGAACACTCGGAAACGGACGATCCGCTCCCAACGACGTCGCCGGAGAAACTGAGCGGCGAAAGGGGACGAGAGAGCGTCGGCCCCCACCACTGACCTGTCCTGACGCCCCACCTCCGAGCCCTTATCCCCACTACGCTCGCTCGTTCTCGCTCTTGCTCTCGCTCTTTCGTACACACTCGCTCTCACTCGCTCCCCACCACTTATTCGCAAAACCCGACTGAACACGCTTAACCCTCCGTACAACTACGCTCTCCAGACTCTCTATCACTGCCTCTTTCTCTCTTTCTCTTGCCTGTCTGACTATATTTCTCCTCTCTCTCTCTCTCTCTTTCTCTATCTCTCTTTCTCTCTCTCCTCTTTCTGTCTCTGTCTTTGTTTGTAGAGTTAGTTTTATTGTATAAATACATACATATATATTTATGTAATAATACTAATAATATAAATAAAATAATACTAATAATAATAATATATATATATATGTGTGTGTAATATAATAAATATGATATAATAAATATAATATATATAAATATATATATAAAAGTGAAATATATATATATATATATATATATATATATATATATATTTAACTTTTATTTCATTTTTTATCTTATTTGTAACCACTCTAGTTCTCTCTCTCTCTTTCTCTCTCTCTCTCTCTCTCTCTCTCTCTCTCTCTCTCTCTATCTTTTTCTGTCCTTATCCTTTCTTTTTTCCTAGCATCTCTATATAAACAAAAGGCAAACCGTTAGACGGGAATGTCCGAAAGGGTGTCCTAATGGTTCGATCGGGCAATGACAAGAAGAACGTTTTCACGAATTAATCGGTCGCGTCCCTGCACTAAATGTTCAGCCACGATTGACTCAGTGTGAAGAGTCGGAGAGAAAAATCACTCGGTGAGAAACGTTGGAAATTTTTCGCTTTCGGAGATTTCACCACCCGTAGATCCCGGATTTAACCATTATCTTCTCTTCCACTGTCGGACGGCTATGAAGACGACAACGACGACGACGACGACGACAACGACAACGAAGACGAAGACGACGGCAACGGTAACGACAACGACGACAACGACGACGTCCGACTTGCGCGCGCGGCTACGGTAAATCGCTTAAATCAATTTTGTCTTAATTTACGAAGAGAAGAGATCGTCTTTTCGAGGTGCTACTGACGGTAGAGATAAGGAAGTAATTTAAGAAATTCCTCTTTCTTCTTCTTTCTCGTCTTCCTCTTTTCTCCATCCTCTCATTTCGTTTCTGAACATTTTCAACGACGAAGCTAAAACGTACCTGTTCTTTTCTTGTTCTCAATTAATTATTATTGTTGTTAAAAGGCAACTTTTCACACGCAATCTAATTTCTAAGTTAAATAGATAATTTTTGTCCTCCTTTTTTTTTTCTTTTTTCTTTTTTTTTAATTTTATAACACTATCTGCATTCACTTGCATTATTTATCATCCTTTCATTATTCATTTGCTCTTTAAATTAACTGGATCTAATAAACATATTCATTCTCTCTCTCTCTCTCTCTCTCTCTCTCTCTCACTCTCTGTTTCTTGTTTCTTCGTCCTATCTCTTTCCTTCGTTTCTAGAGCGTTTCTAGAGCGGGTATCGCTCGTTTCTACCTACGGATAGAACGGAAACGTTACATCGAGGAGCGTATCACCCGATTTATCTCTCTCAGTAATCCGTTTTCGGTCTATCGCTAGACTCGATTGCCGAGCACGAACGAGCCTCGTCCGTTCTAGCCGACGCCTGAACGCTAAATAACCCGTGCGCGACGGATAAGCCGACGACGCTTCGTCGATCCCAGGACTAGTCCGGGCTAGTCCTTCCTGACTCGGTAAGACCAAAGCTGTACCGGTCAAGCTAAATGTTCTACTATTATGGACTCGATCTATACCACATATTGCTACCTCTCCTTTCTCTCTCCCTCTCCATCCCTCTCTCTCTCTCTCTCTCTCTCTTTCGCTGTTTTCCTGTACTCGAAAGTTAGTAAATTGCTTTTTTCTTTCTTTCTTTCTTTCTTTCTTTCTTTCTTTCTTTCTTTCTTTCTTTTTTTGTTTCTTTTAAATAGACAACCACGAATCCTACTTCAATAAATGGTCTTATTTGACTTATCAAACAATGCTCAGGCATTATTATTTTATTTTCTCTTCTCGTTGATCCGTAGACGAAAGTTGAATCGAAGAGTAATAAAGCGGTCTTAGGTGAAAGGCGTACGCGAGACGAGATTTATCGCGCCGTAGAAATTTATTCGTCTGTATTTACCGGTAAAAGCGAAAACCACCTTGGGACAAAGGAGTCACCCCTATCTTGGGGGTATCGCATAAACAACCAAGATCGCGATCGTACTTCTACGATGTACGATCTCCATGAACGCGTTTACAAAAGAGCCGCGAGACCGACGGACTCCCTGAGTTGAGCTAAGGGTAAGAAGGAAGGACTAAGAGTTTCACCCCTTGCTTTACTAATCCTAAAACTTCATAAATACCAAAAAGGAAATTTCTTCTACAAAGGATCGTTTTTATAATCTGTCCACCGATTCACCGGTTATTTCATTATTTCGATTCTCCTTGAAAAAAAAAAAAAAAAAAATAAAAAGAAAAAATAAAAAAAGAGAAAAAAATGGTACTGTAGAAATCTGTAAAGTGCATACAAAAGAAACAAACGACAAAACGAAAAAAGAAAAAAAAGGAAAAAAAAAAAAAGAAAGAATCGTGCCGTTTGTCTCGCTTCAACGAACCAGTTAAAAGGAGACCTGATATCTACGCCATTTCCATTTTCACTCTCTCGTTCTTCGTACAATTATGCACGCCGCTTGTTTCTTTCATTGGATTCTTTCGAAATCTTTCATTTTCACCTCTCGATCGCGTGATCACTCCTTTCGTGCAGCCCTTTTGGCAGACGCGTTACGTACCTACCCGAAAGACACGTTTTCGACCATGTTCGACCACGCCAGGGAGAAAGAACGAACTCGGAATGGGATGCAATTACTCCCATCGAAAATTAGAATGCAACACCGTTTGGCATTGCATCGTATCGCCAAGAGATTGCATACCATTTCGTTGTAATTAATGTGTAAAAAGTGGTCTTTCTAGATCGTGAGAATCCTTCCCGTTTCATAATTGACTCCTTATTTTCGGGCTAACGAGAAGAACCAGGTAGCTTTCGTCTTTTTACGATCGCAAAAGTCAGTTAATATCGCCTTTGGCGGTACCAATGTAGATTGTAAGAGGAAGTAGAAACAAGGAGCGAGAAACGAGCTAGCGAGTCTTCAGTGAAGAGGATAAAAAGAAAGAGAAAGAGAAGAAGGAGAAAGAAGAAGGAGATAGGTGGCCCATTGTCGGTCGGTATCCGCATTCTTTTTAACCTTCGTGAACCCTTACTCGCCATTGACTATTTCACGGTTCATCCGAGCGACGAGAAAACGACAACTTGAAGGGACCAAGCAAGGTAATAGAGCGATCCTCTTCGACGCCCTTTTATTCCTTTTGCATATTGGCCCTCATCTTCTTTCCTATTCTCAATTTCTTTTCATCAAAGATTCTATACCAGCATCCGATATTAGCTTCTTTAATAAGCGGACATTTTTAAATTCAACGATATTATAATCTAATACTAATATTCTGTCTAACTATGACAATGATCAAAGATCTATTATAAACGTTGCAATATTTCCAATATTTTGCTTCTTTTTTTATTTTTTATTTTTTTTTCGATATTATAAATAAAAACATCAAGGACAAGCAAGAAATGTAACCGTTTCGCTATTTGATCGCGAGTCTCAAATCGTTATTCTATATCAGATAGATATCGTTGAATCTGAGTACGTGACTATGCGTGTTTTATAAGCGAAACCGATATACACCGATCGCGTGTATCGTGAGAACGTTACTTCGATGAATTTTCATTTATCGTTTCTCGCTTTACACGCTTGTCGATCGTACGATAGATTGGCGACTCTCGTAAACGGACAATTATGCACACTCAATTATTCGAAACAAACGGGGACCGTAACTTGTACTACCATTTGAAATAAAATTGTAATCTTTGATGTAGTACATTACATTCCGTAATATGTTAGAAAGAATAGGGACAGGTGCTTTGTCGAATCGTTAGTCATTCTTTTCTTTTTCATCGTCTTAATAAAATTAGAAAAGAATGAAAAAGACTATGTATTGTACGAGTCGGTTACACCGAATGGTACGTACGTAAAGTACGTACATACGTAAGTACACGCGTGGGAAAGAATTTTCTTTGTTTCTCGTCGGAATTGCGCGTAGATAGATATATATATATATATATATATATATATATATACAAATATAATACACATACATATATATGTATATATGTATATATATACATATATATAAATTTTTATGTGCACCTGGACGTTTCACAAATACTTCATGAAAGCTTCCGTTATTGGGGTAGAAATTAAACAAGTTAAATATGAGAATGGAAAGGTGTACGAGAGTGTGAAAAAGAAAAGATTAACAAGGTTGTTAATCTATTTCTGTTTATAAGAAACGTAAAAAAAAAAAATATATATATATATATATATAGTTCTTAATACTCACGTAATCTTTCCACACCTTTACCGATTATCTGCAACAGAAAAAGAAAAGAATGAGATGCCAAAAACCTGACACGAGAAACGATTCAAGTTTTTAAACATTTATATGTGTACGTGTCTCGTTCATTCGTCGTTCGACTCGCATTAAGGCCGACGTTCGATGAGGAGAGATCGAATCTTTAAAACTCGTTCAAGAACGTATAACGAGAAGAGACCAATAACGGCTCGAGACCAAAAATATAATCCTACTTGTTTTATAGGATCATTCTATGCTATCAAATGAACTGCATTTATCTGTTATAATTGTTGTAATTTCAGTAATTCAGTATAATCAAATATGGAAATATTTTTCCCTCAACAGAGATTTAGTTCTATTTAGATTTCGACGAATATACTAGTTATTATCGTCATTGTTATTATTATATTATGAAGCTATCATTTTCTCGATCTATGAGTATGTATTATATTTATCTATTTATTAATCAACGAGAATAATGAAATTCAATTATAAGCGGAATAGACCGGAACATGTATATAACGAGTAATAATACGAATATAAATTCAAAATTACTAAATAAAACATAACAATTTCCTATAAATGTAGACAAAAACGTCAAGATATAGTATGACCCATGGGTAAATTAAGTTGCTTCTCGGAAATATAGCTTCTGACTCATCGTCAAGTCACGCTAAGTTGAATGTGTTAAATAGCGACCCTATATACGATTCCACGTATAGTTTCTTTATCAAACGTTATGCATATATTTATCAATCAATAAAAACAATGAAATTCAATTATAAAAAGGTGGATGAAAAATCGAGCGTGACATTTTCATTACGATTTAAAGATCATATAATTTCGATAGGCAAGTATCGGTAGAACGAACATAATGCAACTCGTGTCGTTAGTTTTGATAAAGTAAAGACGAGTAACGAAATGTTCATCGACATTTACCTCGAGTCGATTGTTCAGGAGATATTCCCGAGTACGAATATCACGAGTTGGTACTACCGATTTTCAACGATGTACATAGCTAGGTCGTAGCCGATTATCGTAAGGTTTTGCATTCGAGGGATTTCACTAATCCATTCTCTCCATATAATCCCATTATCGGCCGTTTTCCTTACGGTGATACCGGGTTAACGGAGTACGCACGTACATACGTATGTACGTGGTAACGCGTTATATCTACAACTAGTATTTAGAGATTCGAGTAAAGCGACCTTTACACAAGGGACGAGACAAAGAATGTATGTGTATGTCTGTGTATGTAATTCAAAGAGTGCGCACGTGAGAGAGAGAGAGAGAGAGAGAAAGAGACATAGAGACAGAGAAAGAGAGAGAGAGAGAGAGAGAGAGAGAGGGAGAGAGAGAGAAATGAAGAGATAGAGGGAGGGAGAAAATTTTATCGAAGGGAACTGCAACACCGATCGGCGAAGAACGTTCACGCGTTGGCAAATGCCTCGGCCGGGGTACAATTAGAATATCGTCCTATTCAATATGCGCTGGCAAATTCTAATACGTAGCAAAGCGATCGTATTAAATGCTTTAGACTGATATTATTGTCTCGGTTAAAGGTTGTCTTCATTGGATAACATATACGAAATGTTAGACGTAAAACTATAGGATGAACGGGTAATAAAATTACGGAAAATAAATCAAATTCATTTCATAATTATACCTATAGAAATTATCTCGGGACTTATTGATCTTTTGTCTCTTTTTTTCTTCTTTTTTTTTCTTTTTTTTTTTTTTTCCTTTTTACGGCACACAATGCTTCATCGAACTATCTAAAATATTACCATATACCTTCGCTACTACAAGGAACGGAAGGTTCATGCTGGTTGCACACGTTGACGCGTGTGTATCGAACGAATTCATTTTGCGTAGGTAACGTCTCACTCGAGTCTCTACCATCGGGACGTTTCGAATTCGTATGGCGAGGGTGAAGGGAAAAGAGAGAACGAAAGAAAGAAAGAAAGAAAGAAAGAAAGAAAAAGAAAAACAGAAAGAAAGAAAGAAAGGATGAAAGAAAGAAAGAAAGAAAGAAAGAAAGAAAGAAAGAAAGAAGTGGGCCTTTTTGGGGGAGCCCCCTAGGGGGTAACCGGCAGGGAGATCGAGGCACAAGAGTGGTGCTAACTTAATGAGGGACCACCTAGTTTTAACTGTTTGTTTTTCAAGCGGAGCCATGGCCTGAGTCGAGCGAAGAAAAGAGAAGAAAATAAAAGAAGAGAAAAGCAAAAGTTTGCTGGACGAACCGGTGGACGGATCGTCCCTTCGTTCCTTTCCTTCGTCCTGGTTGACGTTATTCACATTCTCTGTCTCTCTTTCTCTCCTTTTCTTTCTCTTTCTCTCTCTCTCTCTCTCTTTCTATCTTTCTATATATACGTGTTCACGCTCGGTCGACCTTCGTTTATAGCTTGTATCGCATACCTCGTTGCCATAACTTCCGCGATTTAGCCGTGAAATTACACGCGAATGAATTGGTACCAGAGAGCGAATGTTCGACGATAGTGCGATAAACTTTCCGTTCTTCTCCTTTTTCCCTTATCCTCTTGAGCCCCTTTTTCCCCCCACTCACTCTCTCTCTCTCTCTCTCTCCCTCTCTGTCTCTTTTTCGCATCACCGTATTCAGTCTCGATCCTACGTCGTTCGATCGATTTATTCGCTCGATTCGCGCGAAGAATGCAACCGACGCGCGATACTTTCGCGACCGACTAACAATAAGTTTACCTTCTTTTTCGCGCCACTTCTCCAAACCACTTTGGTAGCCATTGTGTGCATTTTTGCCTCGATAGCTTCTATATATGTATTTATATATATATATATATATATAGCATATATGTTTATAAAAAAAGAATTTCGTGTGTGTGTTTGCGTGCGTGTATGAAAAAGAGAGGAGGAAAGAAAGGAACAAAAATTTTCTCTTTCATTAACGTCGTAGAGCTACGATACTTTTTGTAAAGCTCTCTCTCTCTCTCTCTCTCTCTCTCTCTCTCTCTTTCTCTCTTTCTCTCTTTATCATTTTTTTTCTAGCTATAGAAGCAAAGAAAGTCCACTTTAGACCAAGGACCCACATAAATTACGTTTAAATCGCGATTTTCCGATAAATCGTATCGATCAGACTTTCCTTTACGAGTTGTCGTCTCGGAAAAAGAGAAGGAGAATATATTCGCCGAACGAGAACGATAACGTGCCCATGAAAAAGTGTGTTTGACGTGGGTGCGTCATCCATGATTAAATTTATCACTGACAAGCGGCATGGAAAAAGCTACGCTGACGTAACTTTTGTTTCAGCCGCGTCTGTATCCTTCCGTCGTTGTAGCGACAAGCACGACAAGAGTTAACTTTTGTTGACGCGAGTGTTCGTGCGCGGAGGAAAAAACGTCGCATTAGGAATTTTCATGAAAATCGGAAAAATATGGTCTACAACGATGTACGTACGTATTAAAAATAGTTAACGGACATCTTTCAAAAACTTACCTTATCGGAATTCGTTTCGTGTTTAATTTTCTTTTTTTCTTTTTTTTTTTCTTTTTTTTTTCTTTTTTTTGCTTTTCCTTTCTTCAAGAGCTCCAATCCTGGTATTAATTCTGTATTTTTTCTCGAAGAAGTTAATTCTTTGTAGAATATATATTCGTAAAGTTCATTCAAGGTGTTTCTAGCATCTAACACGTTTTAGAACAATTCATTACGATACGATCTATGTAATACGATTTGAATTCATGAAAATTGTATTCATCATTTTCGACAAATGTTACTGTCTTTATATTGAATTAAAAAAAAAAAAAGAAAGAAAAAAATAAATAAATAAATTTTACCGGTGCTTCAGTAACAATAGAACTTTATATTAAAATAGATTAAAAATGAAACGGTCCGTTTGATTTTGTCTTCGTAACGATTCGTTTCGTTAGCTTCGAAAAATACTACTCACGATCACATATTTCCCGTCAAAAAGACGGCATATGGGCTACGATGATGAAGGGACGGTCTGCCCGCCGGCGATCTCGTATTTCCCGTCGATTATTATTCATCCTGCCTTAATATAAAAGAACACGATTGGTTGACCTCGTAAGGATCTCGGGCGACATGACGTAGGACACGCGAACGAAGGATAGGCACGATTCGGTGACATCGAAAGAAAGGTACCCTCGTTAACATTCACTTCGTCGTATTACCATTCTCAAGGTACTAACCCCTTTCGCTTTATTTAAACAATTGCTCTTGAAGTAGAGACTCGTTAAAACCGCGTTCGTTACACGATAGCTTTCCATTGATCTTTCGTAAAGAAGAATAGAAACGAATACTACTCTATTATTAGAAATCTTTTAGACCGATTTTCATTGACGAACGAATTGCCCGACAGCTTGGAAAATCCCTTTTCGATTATGAATTTTGAGGTCTTTGAAGAGTAATCAAAAATTCTTTCCAATGCTGTTATCCGGTAGAAACGTCATTCTTTCTAGGAGATACTCGGTATAAAGCTTCTACTTTTCTCTCTCTCTCTCTCTCTCTCTCTCTCTCTCTCTCTTCCTTTTTTGCATCTTCGTCTTGCATTGTATGACCTCGTGACGCATCAGGATAAGTGACATTTCGTGTTCCATCTCGCAAAAGATTTTAGGGATGCATCAGACATAGTAAATAAAAATATATATTCGTTTGTATAGAGGAAGAGAGGATGATAGGAGCAAGTTTCCCATTTTTCTTAAAGTATAATATTCTCGTAACATTATCGATTGGTTTTTTTTTTTTTTTTTCCTTAAACATCGTGAAATTATTGAGATTCGATGATAAAAATGTTACCGTTATTTTATTATTTTATTTATTATTTACTTTATGTCATGAGTTATTAATTTATATAAAATTACAATGAGAATTTTTGGGAACGCGATCGGTTCAAAGTAGTTATTCCAGATGGAAGAATCGGGGAAGACTTTCTTACGGTTGGAGATATCCAAGGTAGCCGCGTTCTTGCGCTAACGAGTGGACCTTAAAAGGGGGAAAGAGTTTCCCCGATCACCGGTTAACATC